CACGTTTCGAGCCAAATCGATCTGTCATAATCCAGGGGCCCGAAGCTGGGCGGAAACGCCGGGCGTGAAACCATTGCAGCGCACGGATCTCAGGGGCAGACGGCGGCGGCAGCGGCGGCGACGACGACGACGGACAGCGCCCACCCACCCTCCCCGCCAGAAGCGGCGCGAGCTCCGACGGCACCAGCGAGGTTTGCCAGACCTCTTGCGGCGCGGGAGGGAGGACAGCGGGAAGGCAGGAGGAGGACTAGCAGGAGGGAGGATCGGCAGGAGGAGGCGGGAGGAGGAGGAGGAAGGAGCAGGGGTGAGGCAGAGGACGAGGAGGAGGAGTAGGAGGAGGAGGAGGAGGACGAGGAGGAGGACGAGGACGGGGGAGGGGCAAGAGGAGCAGGAGAGAGGAGCTGGAAGGGATGGTGACGATGATGAGGACCTCGCAGGAAGATGGGCCAGATGATGCTGAGGGTGCCAGTAGACAGACAGAAATCATAGAGCGAAATCGTCTGGCGGGACGATAACAACCATAACGACAAATCCGCCGACCCCTTGTGGGTCTCTAGGCGTGTGAGATAGTTCCCCCCCCCCAAAAGTCCCCCCCCAGGGACCCCAAACCGGCGATTTGACCCCCCCCCCCCGGGGCCCTGGACGAGCGACTCACGGGCTTTTTTGGACCCGAAAGGGGCTCAAGACGGGCCCAGAAGGTCCCAAGACGCCTCCAAGACGGCCCACGAGGGCCCCGAGACGCCACACGAGCGCTCCAAAACGCCCAAGAAGGTCCCATGACGAGCCAAGAGACCTCCAAGACGGCCCAAGCGGCCTCCAAGAGCAGCCCTCAGAAGGGCCTACGAGCTGAAAATTGTGAAATTCCTATGGGAAGACGTACATTTTGATAATGCACGACTTGTCGGCCTTCACGGCCTTGAAGACCGTCCAAGAGCACCCCAAGACCGCTCCAAGAAGGCCCAAGAGGCCCCCAAGAGGCGCCCAAGTCGGCCCCAGAGGGCGCCAAGACGGCACAATAGGCCCCCAAGACTGCCCAAGACGGCCCCACGAGGGGCCCAAGAGGGGGAGCTTGAACCGACAATCCGAACCTTCCGCCCCAAGACGGCCCCAGAAGGCCCCAAGAGGCCTCAGGAGGCCCCCAAGACGCCTCCAAGAAGCCCCAAAAGGCCCCCAAAAGAGCCCCAAACGGTCCCAAAACGGCCCCCAAGAGGCTTCGAAACTGCCTCCAAAAGTCCCGCGAGAAGCCCCTCGCCCATTCTTCCTCTGCCTCCCTCTCCTCATCCTCATCCTCGTCGATTCTTTTCCCCCCGTTCTTCATTTCCTCCGTGTGCCCCTCATCCTCCTCCTCCTCACCGTCCTTGTCCAACTCGGCCCCCCGGTGGCTTCAAAACTGTTTTCCAGAGGTCCCCGAAAGGCGTGCCGCGAAATCGCTATACACATACAAGAATTTCTCACCCATAGACCATAAATCGCTATACACATACAAGAATTTCTCACCCATAGACCATAACTCAGAGCCTCATCTCAATGTCCCCCTCCTCCTCGTCCTCCTCCACCCTCTCCACGTTCCCCTCCTCCTCGCCCCCCTCCTCGTGTTCCTGGTCCGCTTCGCCTCGTCATATTCGATGATTCGCCCCCCCCCCTATCCTCCGCCTCATCTCCATTCGCCTGTCCCGTCCTCCTTTTTCTCACCAGCACGCGTGCCCGATTCGACATCAGTTGCATGTCTTGCACTTCAGGGTGCCTTTTGTTGGCGTCTCGCGGGACAATGTGCGGGCCGGGGAACGCCGACTTCGGTAGCCTTCTCTCGCACGCGCCGCTGCACTGATACGGCTGGCAACTGCGGGCTGTGAACCCGAAGTCCTTGCAGCCTCCGCACACCACTTTGGCTCCTTTCGCCTTTCGATGATGTTCCACTTGGTTGGGCTTCAAATGTTTCGTGTCCGAGAACGCTCCTCCGCACGTCGCGCACGTCAGCGGCTTCGCGTCCGCCTCGGCTTTCCGTTTTACGATTCGCTGCCTCCGCACTGCCCCGTCGCACCTCTCTCTCTCTCTCTATTTCTCTCTCTCTTTCGTTGTTCCACGCATTTCTGACAGAGCCTCTCCCCCGCAGTTTTGTGCTTCTTCTGAGCTTCTGACATCTCCGCCTTTCCGTCATACAGCGACAGGCACTTATCGTTCGTACATCGCGGGCGCGTTCGTTCCACGCTCTCGTTCCACTTCGCGCTGCCTTTCCGCGACTTTTGCTTGGCTTTGACATGGCTGCACGTCGCGCAGTACATTGTCCTAATCCTTTTCGTCTCCCCGTCGTCGACCGCCACATCCGCGTCCCTTGGGCCGTCTTGGGCGCCTCTTGGGTCGTCTTAGGGCCCTCTCGGGCTGTGTTGATCCTCTTGGGAGCACCCTGGGCCGTCCTGGAGCGGGTTTGGGGGCCTCTTGGGCCGTCACCGACGCCGTGGAGGCCGAAAACTCGCGCATACTCAACATGCACGTTTTCCTTAGGACAATCAATGTTTTTTAGCGTTTGGGGGCGCACCGTGGGCGCCTTGTGGGGCGTCGTGGAGCCCCCCTGGGCAGTCTTGGGCGGTCTTGGACTCTCTCGGAGCGTTCTTGGGCGTCTTGGAAGTATCTTCGGCCGTCTTGAACCCCTCTTGGACCGTCGCGAGCGCCCAAAACGGCCCAAGAAGCGCCCAAGAGACCCCCAACACGCCCCGAGCGGCCATTCACACTCATCCATCCGCCCCACCCCCCTCCCCAGGACCCCTCCCTCGAGGTCTTCGCCCAAACACAACGTCATCACTCGTACCTGGTTCTTTCCGTCACGTGGACCAGCACGGGAACGGAAAAGGCGTTTCAAGGACTTGCCCGCGATAGCTCGCGTAATCACAGCCTTGGCGCTGGAAGCGATGTTTCACACCACTGTGCGCAATCGCAACCTTGGTGATCGAAACTCGTTACGTCATCGTTCTTAGCGGTAGCCTTGGCGTTGTGTTTTTTCCAATTCCCCGCGCTCCCGAGAGCCGTGGCGTTGAACGACTTGTCACCTCCTCCTCCTCCTCCTTCTCCACCTCTTCCTCCTCCCCGTCCTCCTCTTCCTCCTCCTCATCATCCTCCTCCCCCTCCTGCCTCCTGCTCCTCCTCATCCTCATCGTCCACCTCTTCCTCCTCCTCCTCCTCCTCCTCCTCCTCCTCCTCTCCTCCTCCTCCCTCCTCCTCCTCCTCCTCCTCCTCCCACCCCTCCCCCTCCCCCCCCCCCCTTCTCCTCTCCTCCTCCTCTCCTCCTCCTCCTCCTCCTCCTCCTCCTCCTCCTCCTCCTCCTCCTCCTCCTCCTCCTCCTCCTCCCCCTCTGCCTCATTCCCCATCCATCCCCCCTTCCCCCTCCACCCCTTCCGCCTCGGCCTCTTGGGAGCGGACCTCTTGGAAGCCTGTTGGTGGCTGGCCAAGAGGTCCCCAGGACGGCCCGAGAGGGCCTCAAGACGACACCGAGAGAGCCCTAAGAAAGCACCACGAGCTTCCCAAGAAAGCCCCTAGAGGCCGCCAAGAGAGCCCCAACAGGCCGCCAAGAGAAGGCCCTCTTCGGCCGTCTTGACGGTATCGGGATAAAGCCGTCTCTCCCCGCTTTCGCCGTTGGGAGCCTTGGCGTGATGAGCTCTCTGCGTTACCGATCACTCTTTATTTGCCCTGGGTCTTCTGGGCCGTCCTCTTGGGGCCTTTTAGGGGTTCTTTTGGACTGTCTTGGGGCCCTCTTGAACCGTCTTGGGACCATTTGGGACGTCCAGTTTTCTCGAATGCTGAGGGCTAAACCGATAACTCTCAGAAGGTCTTGCATGCTTCCCCGATTGCGGAAAAACGCCTGACGGGGAGCTGACCAGGTCTTCCAAATTGTGGTGAGAGTTTCACCGATAACTCTCAGAAGGTCTCCCGTGCTTCCCCAATTGTGGGAAAACGCCTCACGGGCTGGCAGGCCCCTTAGGGGCGGCGCGGGCGGGCCGGAGCCCAGCCCCTTGCATCTCAAAGTAAGACAACCATAAGGTAAGCTGCACTGAATGCTATCATAAGATATTGCATCCTAAACGAAGGTTATAGACGAAAGGTAAGCTGCATTGAATGCCGCGCTGCAGGGACCAGACATTGCAAGACGAGAGAAAACGACTAATGATGCTTGACGATTTCGCGCTGCTATCACAAGGAATACAAGGGGTCGGCGGATGTGGCGCAAGCCTGTAGAATCGAGGAGCTAGGATGGCATCTCGGCACCTGCGAGCTGTGTTGAGCATGGTCTGAAACATACCCAGTGGAAGCATGCAGGGATATGTTGGCGATGATAGTGTAGGCGCATTCCTAGATTACTTATTCTGTCGGTGCCGCACTGACTCGTGGCTGAAGTGGGGTTCTGCGGTGCGGATTATTGCTGGTGTTGTTGTTGCTTCTGTTGGTATTGTTGTTGGTGTTGTTGTTGGTGGTGTTGGTGTTGGTGTTGGTGTTGGTGTTGGTGTTGGTGTTGGTGGTGGCATTGGTGTTGATATTGGTGTTGTTGTTGGTGGTGGTGATGCTGTTGTTCTTGCTGCTGCTGCTGCTGCTGCTGTTGTTGTTGTTGTTGTTGTTGTTGTTGCTGTTGCTGGGGGCCAGAGATGCCGGACTTCCTGGGCGCGGCCCTGGAAGCCTCTGGAGCGCCCCGAGGAGACGCCAAATATGTGGCAGGCCCAGCAGCCTGAAGCCAAGAACGCCCCAAGACGGCCCAGATGGCCTCAAGACGGCCCAAGATGCTCCCAAGACGCCCCAAGATGCGTCCAAGAGACCTCCCAAGAGGCCCCCAAGAAGCCAAAATTAATCATTTTCATTGCTTTTTTGAGGATTTTGGCGTTCTCGCCTCTTCGGCTTCCGAGCGCTCCAAGACGGCCCACAAAGCCCTCAATATCGCCCCCATACGGCCTACGAGGGTTCAAGACCGTTCCGAAACGACCCCAGAGAGCCCTAAGAGACCCCCAGAAACCTCCAAGATGGCCCAAGATGCCCCCAAGACGGCTGCAAGACCGGGCCCCGACGGGGGACCGGAACGGACATTTCGCGCTCTAAGCCGCAAGACGTCCCCAGGAGGCCTCATAACGCCCCCAAGAGGCCTCAAGACGGCCCAAGATGCTCCCAAGACGCCCCAAGATGCGTCCAAGAGACCTCCCAAGAGGCCCCCAACAAGCCAAAATT